GGTAAGAGTGATTAAGTCAATTGCTGCTGTTCATAACATCTCTGTAAACAAAACCCCATGCATTTGGAATAGAGCTAGCTTAACGTCTACATGATTTCGTTTACTAATAAGCAGTGGGGAGAGTTCTCTTGGATACTCTCTAGACCTAGCCCCCTCCGACTACTACTTGTTCCGCTCCCTCGAGGCTTTCCTAGGTAAGAAAACCTTCAGCGAATTTGATGGCATCAATCGAGAAGTTCCTACTTCTTCGACTCGCAGCCTCCTCAGTTCTGGGAGAAGAGTATAGCTGGCCCATTAGGTGGAGCACTGTAGTGGCTAACAATGGCGATTATATTATTGATTAGTTTTTATTTCATGTTGAGTTAGAAAATAAAAAAGAAAAAAATCACAACAGTGACAGGACTTTCTTTCCAACCTATACATCTTGAAGAGAATCCTTTGCGCTACATGATGGTATAACTGCCGTTTCACCATTGCTTGATAAACACCTTTTTTCAAGACTTTTTCAAGCATGTCAAAAGAGCAACATCGAACCATATTTTTCTTCAGCCACAAATTGGGTCTATCCGCAGTCGTGACAGCTCGACAAATTAACCAGGTGTGGAGGCCCAATAGTGTTGGAGAAAGCACCAGCAGGAAGTGCGACAATGGTTCGACAAATTTCGTTCTGGGGATTTCAGCCTTGAAGATGAACCTCGTAGCGGTCGACCTAAAGCAATACCTGACGAAGATTTGAAGGCATCTGTGGAGGGTGACCCATCCCAAACAGTCCGAGAGATTACACAAAAGCTAGGCGTTGGCAAATCCACTGTTGCGGATGGTCTGAAAAGCATTGGGAAGATGAAAAAACTCGACAAGTGGGTGCCCCACAATTTGAGTGACCGGCAGAAATTGGCACGTCTCGAGCTTTCTTCTTCACCGCTTTTGCGCAACAGAAACGACCCGTTTTCAGACCGATTTTTCACTGTGATGAAAAGTGAATCATGTACGATAACACGAGACGTCTCGGACAGTGTTTAATGCCGGCGGAGGCATTTCCAAAGCCGAATCCTCACGAAAAAAGGTCATGGTCACAGTGTGGTAGTTATCGGATGGTGTGATCCACTATAAAATATCAATATAAAACCACTATTTGTCACCAGGCCAAACCATCACAGCAGAATCCTAGTGTGAAAAAATCGACGAACTGTACCGAAAATTCGTCAGCTGTCAGCTGCAGCCAGCACTTGCTAACAGAAAGAGTCCGATTCTTTTGCATGATAACGCCCGCACACACGTTTCACAAATCACTATCAATAAATTGAACGGATTGGGGGTTGAAGTTCTACCTCGCCCGTCATATTCTCCAGACCTTTAACCAACCGATTATCATCTTTTCAAACATTTTCAGAACATCCTTGCTGCAAAATACTTCATCAGTCAGGACCAGGCAAAAAAGCCTACGTGGATTTCGTGGATTCTCGACCACCCAGTTTTTTCTTTGATGGGATTTATCGACAGGTGTCACATTGGCAAAAGTGTGCTGATTTGAAAGGTGCTTGTTTCGATTGAATCCGATGAGTATTAAGAAAGTTATGATCGTTCGAAACGCTGAGAACTTTCCGGACAACCTATTATTAGCATCTGCTATCCTTGTGCGACATGATCGCATGGATTGCATAGTAGTAGAAAAGATGAGCGCTGATCGGTACACGTTTGACACAGGTAATGGGAGCAAGATTTGTGCTTTTACTGAGCAACTCATATTGCGCTGTATTGTTCGACTGTACTCTCTATCTATATTTATGAATCTATGTGTGGTATGGGTCTCATGACCCAAACCACCACCTTTTCTGCGAACAAGCGTGGACTCAGGATTCACTGGGTTGCTCTATCTGCTACGATTCGTTTAATACAGCGCAATATGAGCAGCTCAGTGAAAGACTAATCCCCTTTCCGTGCAAGTGCCTCTGAAAGCCAGGCCAGCCCGGCGAAGCCAGGCTGGGGAGGAGAGCTCGGCGTAAGCCGGGCGATCCGACTGGTGAGCGTATATACTAGTAAGTAGAAAGGTCCAGGTATCGAAGTCGAATAACGACTTCTACAGGATACTCAGCCACCAGTTCTGCAAGACCTATCGTCATATCTCGAACAGCTTGAGAAGAAAAATTTCGCTGTCTACCTGTATACATATAGGTGTTATTAATGGCCCTGACCACGGATCTGAGCTTCATAACTGGGGCCGAAGCCATTCGGCGCCAACATAGCTCTAAATACCCCCTCCACGTGCGTAGTGAGATGCTGCGAGAAACACTTGAGAAACTTCAATGCTACCTCACTGAGTGCCAAATTTCATAAAAAAAGGCACTTTTTTCACCGTAACTTGTGCTGCTTCCGATGCATTGTCGATCAAGGACCTATTTGCAGTGCATGCTCAACATAAAAAGAAGAGAGCCCGGGAAATTGCTCAAAATCGCTTTTCCTTATTAGGAAGGTCGCCAGGTCGAAGGGGCCATTTGTAAAGAGATGTAGCTCACGGGACGTGGTTTTAAAGGCTGACTCAAATCTGCCTTTGAAATCTGCAGAACGATTTTTGAACGGACTTATGGAGCTTTCTCCTTCGCATCTACCACGCAACGGGTCATGGGTTCGCATCCCTGCTGAACTTACCTTTTTTGCTTCTCGCGCAAACGTGGCAAAAAATGGTTGTACCGTCAACACTACATTAGCGCTCTCCCAGAAGTACCTGGAAAACAGTTTTGCATTGGCTTACTGGCGCGCTTGGTGCCTTGTGATCTAGGAGAATTTTTGATGTACACGTGCCCTTGGCGCACAGTGGAGGCGTTTTCGCGGTGATGATGCATATTAGTTTATCGGGGCGAACTACGGCCTGGGTAGAGCTCTAACTTGTGATCTAGGAGAATTTTTGATGTACACGTGCCCTTGGCGCACAGTGGAGGCGTTTTCGCGCTGAGTGAGTGCCATATTAGTTTATCGGGGCGAACTACGCCTGGGTAGAGGCTCCTAAGCAAATCTGGCATTTTGACCTGACTTCGAAAAGTGGGTCAGTTAGTTCGTTTGATGTTCACACTATTCAGCTGCAAACAAATTCTGCTGCACAGAGCCCCGTCTTGTGCATTCATTTTGTCACTGCTCCAGTTTTCCTCATATCTAGAAGCAAATTCCGTCCGAAAACAAGCAATCGACAAGAGACTGGCCCTAGAACTATTGGTGACTATCATCAGTTGCTACCGCACTTTTTCAAAGTCAGTTCAAAACCTCCTATGTGGCTAGAAACCTGTCCCCAATGGTATTTTGCTCCCTGAACACGAACATGACACCCATTTGGCGTTTGAGTAATTTCTTGACTCAAGAGAGCCATTCGTCATGAAACGCAAAGAGAGATACTTCCTTAAAATCCAAACCCTCCATGGCACGGCCACAAATCAAGACCGTTACCACTACACCATGCTGTCGTTGGGTTTAGAGGGGCTTCGCGCCTATTCAAGCAAATTGGCTGGCAACCGCGCTCGACTCCATGTGCCTTCATTTTTTTTCTGATAAATCTTCATAATTCCTTTCAGAGAATCGTTTTGCAAATTTCGAAGGCAGATTTGAAATCAGCGTTCAAAAACACGTCCTGTGATGAACGTCTCTTCATAAAGAGCCACTTCGACCTGGCGACTATCCCTAGTTAGTAATTCATTTTTGGCGTTCCCTGGAATGCATAGCAAAAAAGTAACTCATTTTTCTGAACCTTATATGGACCCCCTACAACAGGCAACAAACCCTTTCGAGAAAGCGCGCCACGACCTGAATGACCTCCTTTGTGAGTGAAAAATACTTGCTTCAAAAGTTTCAATTTGTCACCAGATGATACCAGGAATTAGAAAATGGGAATACATAGGTGAGGCGACAACGATCAACTTGAACACTACAGAATTCTCGGTTATTGGATCACAGCAGTTCAATTATTAGTAGTTTAGTTTTTGGAAATCAGTGAAATGAACTAATGTTCCGTTCATTCGAGCTTCCAAAGCAGAAAGGATACCTCCAACTTCCATCTTCTCGTCCTGCTCATTCGGCCAATACTGCTCACACTTCATTTTTCCTTGCTCAATCGTATCACACAACATTATGATATGTGAGACACGTTCGCTTAATATCATCCGCCAAAAATCATTAATTGTTGCCAGGATTGGGCCCTGTAAACGGTCGGAATTACTTAAAGCGGGAAAGAAACTTTGCAGAAGTATTCACAAGTCGAAGGACCGACGAAAATGACTCACTTGTGTGCAGATGAAAGTGTTGACCAGACATTGCCCTCTCACGTAATTAGCATGGATATAATCGGAACCTTTACCATCTTTAATGACCACACGAGTGAGATCATTACAGATGACGTCTAAATTTGAACGATGAAGAATCTCACATTCATCAGCGACCCGTAGAAATGTTGCCTATTCCGGACAAGCAAAAAAGGAAACCAGTCTCAGATCCACATAAAATAAAAGGTAAAGGTTTTGCCGCCAATAAATATTTATTTTGGATAGGGCACGTGTTCTATCCTCATTCAGATTATTAGAGATGACATACGGTGTGCAACGCAACGTGGATCGTGAGGGTCAGTCGATATTCAACTCAGTGCTTTTCCCTCTCCGAGCTTGCTTGGACTGAGTGATATGGGACTTGACAACGGAAACACGCGTGGTGGGCGAGCCACTCACCACTGCGCTACTACCGCCTCCAGTAGTGGGCAGCGTTCAGACTTCGCGGCGGCAACGCTTCGGTAGTCGACGCGATCGATGCAGTCGAAAGCATGCGTATCGATCGGCGAATTGCGCGACTGAAGCGCTGCCGTCGCGAAGTTTGAACTCTGCCTTATATACTCCCAGAAAAGAATTTGGAAAGAGAAAACCACACAATCAAGCATAACCAACATAAAACTCGCAACCCAGCACCACCTAACACTCTCACTGCCTCAACCAAAAGACAAGCCTTCCGATGGCCTATTTTAAAAAGGTCACCTTCTTCCTGTAACCAGCCTATCTACAATTACATTTTACACTGACCTAGCTGCTGGAGAGCTAATTCCTAAAAGTGAGAGAGGGACACATTAGAATTTAGACTACTCATTTATTTATTATGGAAAAAAGGTGGGAATTCACCTTTATAGCGATTCTTGGTCGGATTCTGATCAAAAATCTCTCTTGAATACGTGCTGGCAAGATAAGGTTTCAGTATGGCGTACTCTCCAATGAGTCCTTCAACTCCAATTTCAAAGACTACCTGAAGAAGTTGCAGTAAAACTCACATCTAAATGACTGTTGCGCCCATCATCAGCTGTGAAAAAACTATGGGGTCGTATCCGGCCGTTCAAAAAAGGAGGGCCGTAATTTAACGTGAGAAAGATTTTCTGATCGTTCTTACCGTTTCACGCTCACTGTCGACCCCGGTCGACCGCGTCGGCGCAAACTCACTAATTCTGATGGTTGGTCGGAGATGTCTACCCCCCCCCCTCCTCCTTTGATGGGGGAAAAGATTACGTGGAAGGTTAGTAAGGTGGTAGCTAACATAGGAAAGGTGGCTACACCATAAGAGTGAATTCGAGGGGTCCTGGTCGGTCGTGGGTCGTGTCAGAACCCATAGTCGGCGCTGTTTATCGACGGGGGGGGGGCATTCTGTACTATCACTGCTTCCCTTGCTCCGGTTTGCAAATCTCACTTTGGTAAAACTTGTGAACGCTTGTGAAGCTGGAGCAGGATCGTCTAGCCACCATCCCAAAACGTGTCAACTCAGGAAAACGCTGCCTAGATGGGTCGACACATCTATGGAAAGCAAAATGCCCCCCGTCGATAAACGGTGCCCCCATAGTGGTCAGGAAAATCCCAAAAATCAAAACACTTCGGGCGCAAGCTCTCTCCGTATACGGCAGGAACGCCCTAGTATGATATCCGTGCAACGACAACTCAACACTATGGCCATTTCTCATGCTACCTTGAATCTTGGTAACTTCTCATGGCTACTGGGTTGGCTCATAAGTAATGGCATTTTTTCAACTGGAAATTTGGTTCAAAATGGGAAATCATTTGCGAGCAAGTTTGATATCATCTTATACGAAACTTCTCCTACTATAAAAATGTCGAAACAGCTTTGGGTGAGGAAATGACCTTTGTGAAGTTTGTAGTCGTTGAAGTAAAGTTGAGTCGGCGAAAATTAGTACTTTCGACAGCTGCCTCTATTTACGTCTATTCGAAGTGCTCAAATCGCTTGAGCTGTTTTATAAATTTGCAAAAGGTTGAGCTAGAAGTGCCAGCAAGGGAATCCTTATAGGAGACTAATTTCAAGAATTTTAAGTTGGCAACCTCGCAGATAATAGGCTGGATCACAGGTCATCGCGTCTGTTCCACTTGAAATTTTATGATAACAGCTGAATGTTTCTCCAATGTGTTTTGTATGTCTGAGGCCGTATGCTATACTTCCCATCGAGGGAAAGCGTCCCCTCTAGGGGAAGCACCTCAGAAGGACGTCCACCAGAGAGGCCGTATGTTATACTCGAGGGGATCCCCAGAAGAGGAGACGCAGAGCTTGCTGGCGCAAATTCTGGGGAAGGGTCGCCTGCACATTCAACCTTGGGCATCCATAGCTCGGAGGATCTTTTGCTAGGACTGATGGCGATCAACTACAATGATTTGTCCTGCTATTGTAGGGCTATTTTCAGAATAAATTGAGCATTGGTCAAGAGAGGATAACCATACCAATTATTTAATATTTTAGGACCCTTTGCAAATGTTAGACAAAACAGTTTCTTATTTTAAATGGTCCAGATGTAGGGAATCTCTAGAAGAAAAGCTGGCTGAATCTGTCCCACTTAGCATTAGAAACGCCATGTTCTTCTTTCTTGGTGGTCCTGCCTCTATCATTGCGCTCTCTCCTTTTAAACTGGAAAAAGTGGCTGGTAGCATTACAGCGTAACAGGGAGGTGTCTTCGGCTGGACAAAGTTTCTAAGGTCCGAAGTATGATCAGCACCAAAAGGCATCCTCGTTAAAGGATTTTCGGAAGGATTTTCAATGCTCTGACAGTAATCTGACCACATATCTTAGCTTGAGTAGTACCGCGTCGAACAAACGCTGCTTGCATGAGAGGGGAATTATCAGAATTCTTCGCTTTGACGGTTCCGTAGGATGCACAGAGTTGAAGCGTGGTGAGCAGTGGTAGGGTCTGTGGCGGCGAGTGCTGATGTGCTGCTAATCAAGAGCAATAAGAGGTATTCTCATTCTGCCAAAGTGATGAGGACGAGAAGAGAGGAATTTTGGTCGCACTTCACCTCTTCAGTGTAGATTCGAACGTTCTTGTTTGATATTTGATTTTTGTGTTTAGATATAACTGCTTCATCGACGCATTTCTTCTTATTGAGGGCAGTTTGCTAGTTCCCACCGCACATCTTTCGGTGGGGGCCCAATTAACTCTTGTGAAGCTGTGAAATATTCTACTTATCCTCGGATAGAGCTTAGATAGAGATTACAGCTCTTACTAAAATGCTTTCGAGGAGCGCGTGGGAGAACGCTAGGAGTCATAAATTATCTAAATAGGCTATATACATTGAAGAACTCAAAACACTCTCACTCGAAACTGCAGAGCAGTTAGAATGTGGTCCCAAGGATTTGAGGAGCCCTTGGGAGGAGCAAAGTGGTGAGTCGCGCCCCAGCTGCTATGCCTCATAATCCTATTGAATGAGTGACGCAGATTACAAAACTAAATTCATAGGGTGTATGTCATATTAATCTCGCACAATATAGTTATAGTACATTAGATAAGAACCAGTTAAATAAAATCAAAATTCATGGAATGAAAGAAAACCTTCAAATGCACTAGAAAGGAAAGCAAGTTCAGGAATGGGAAGCAATAAACCTTATTGGAAGCGCGACATGGCGATACCGTGATACTGCAGTATATCTCTCCTAACACCCACCCCTTAATAATATGGGTAAAGAGGGGAGAGATGAAAAGGTAAAGAGAAAGAGAGGTGAAAAGGTAGAGAGGTAAAGAGGAGATCTCGGAATAAGGATTAAGTAGGTTTTTGTATCATGAAAATGAAAGAAATGTTTGAAACAAAAGCAAAGTGGGCAAAAAGGTGAGCTGGGGATGTCTTCACCAACACTCGTACTTGGGGGATATCTCCCTTTGATTTGGTGGGCGTGGCCTTTTCCCCAGAGCCTTAGGGGGAAGTGTAGCATACAGGGAGAGGACCCCTCCCTTCGAGGGAAAGTATAGCATACGGCCCCTGATACCAAATTTCGTGAACTACAACACTGGCCTGAATATCTGTTTTCCATAGCGTTTACTTTCTGTTAATTTCAGATAATTAATAAGGAATGTCAGGTCGATGAGAATCAGCATTCCCAACTTCTTCTCCCTACCGCTTTCCACGGAAGCTTCAAAGCCCCTGGGGCCGTATGCTATACACCCCCTCGAGGGGAGGGGTCCCTTTTAGGGGGATACACCCCAGGGGGACGTCCCCCAGAGCGGCCGTATGCTATACTCGAGGGAATCCTCCGAAGCGGTAGAGACGCAGGGTTGGCTGGCGCAAGTTTGGGGGAAGGGTCGTCCGTACATCCAGCCCTGGCTTTGCCCTTTGACATTACGGAGAATCTCAAGCTGAGACTGATGGTTATCAATTGCAATCATTTTCCCTGCTATTATTAAGCTATTTTCAGGCTGAGTTGTGTATTAATCAAGGTCATAGGGGTGACCACATTAATTTCTTCAACATTTTCGAATCCGCGTTCAACAAAATACTTTCTCAGTCTAAAGTTCGAAATGTAGGAAATCCCTAGATTGAAGGGTGGCTGAATCTGTCCCACCTAGCGTAAGAACGGCATGTGATCCACTATCTTGGTGGCCCTGTCTCTGTCACTATGTTCTCCGCTCTTCGAACGCGCACTCCGGTAGGAGGAATGGTATGATTGAGCCCTTGTTAATGACTTGTCGCACCTATGGTTTGCGGCATAATTAACGAGGTACGAAGCGACCTCATTAAGCCGAGGCACGTCGCGTTAACTGCGGTTGGCCTCGGTAAGAGGGGAAGTTATTAAGCTATCCAAATCGGCATGAATTCATTGAAAATTTTCGGTAAAGTGGGTGCAAAGGTTGCTATATATTTCAGCTATTTGTTACTTTGTTATTATTATTGTTATTATTGTTACAACTATTAGGTTGTCGCATAAGTTCTTATACACGGGTTTCATCCTTCCGTATTTCGTTTGCATGGATGTTTTTATTACGTCATCATGTGCGTGACGTGTACATTGTACTCCTTCTTAAACTAGCTATCACTCACCGAGCTTGCATTTGCAGTACACAATGTCGCACAATTACCAGTGTGACAGAATGTTCCTGCGCCACTGCCTGGTTTTGCTTAACGATTCACAAAAGAAGCTTCGCGTTCTCAACTTGATG